TGGGGAACAACGAATTAACAGTGGTTAATTTGAATTATAGGTTTATTCAATGAGTTTTCACATCAATACTGTACTTATGATTTTATTTAGTGTAATTAAAACTTCAGTTTTTTATCATGTACAAAATTTACTTTAACTTTGACAATGTTTAAATAAATTTCTTTTTATTTACTCCCATTTTCATTTTAGGCATTAACATTAATGCCTGGACATAATTTCAGGATTTTAGTTTAAATTCTAGGATTTAAGAGTAATGAATGCATAACATTATTTGGGCAATAGACTTACTGCCTAGGCGTTAGCTTATTGCCTAGGATTTAAGCTTAATGCCTAATGTCACTTATTGCCGCTAACATATACAACATTTACAGTGTGAAATGCTTTGGATTCTTTTCGTAGGAAGAAGCAGTAACATCAAGTGTTAAAAGGTTTGCTTTTGATACTGTTTTTCTTCACCTAACTGAATAAATGGTTATTCTGTCTTACAGTACTGTTGACCCAAAAAGCAAACTATTCATTTAAATGTTGACGCTAATAGTTCATGTCTTAAATCGGTGTACAGTGGACAATACGAATTGAGAATTTGTTTTTAAACATCACAATGACAGTTTTGGGGAGTGTATTAAAATATGCAGGAATAGGTTAGTGGTGTCAATCAGATGTGGATTTTTAAATATTCTAAAGGTCTACTGCTAAATCTTAGATCACAATCTCTGCAATTTTGCAGCAACATTTAAACTTTTATTTTTTCTTCGCTTTACACTACTATTCCCCATGCTCAGTTGAAAGATCGACTTGACCATCTCATTTAACAGAGCTTTTTCTATAAAAATGGAAATCGTAGATATACATTTCTTGTTCTGGGTTATACATGTTATAATTATTCTTATTTTGTGAAGGACCACATTGATTCTATTAGAAAATATACAGAAGATGATAATATCAAAATGCTGGACTTTTTGATCAACAATTTATTTGTTGAGTTTGGAGGATTGATATTTCAACAGACAGTCGGTATTCCAATTGGTACTAATTGCATACGTTTTATGTGTCAACTTGCATATTATTTTATTATGAGCTCTGTTGATGCATTTGTACACGTGGTGTTGTAAGTTGCCTGAAGAATTTGTGAATCTTTTTATTTTGTGTCCTCCGACTCCAAGAAAGAGCTTTTAATGACGGATGCAAATACTACAGACATGGAAGTAATTTATATCTTTTCCTCAATACTGACACAGATGGACGACTTCACACTAAAATCTTTGACAAACGGGACGATTTCAACTTCCCAATTATCAATTTCCCATTTCTCAGCAATAACATGCCCTCTGCCCCATCGTATGGTGTTTACATATCTCAGTTGATACGTTATGCTCGTGCATGTTAACACTATACGGACTTCAGTGTGCTCCTTACGCAGAAACTGCTCCAACAGAGTTATGAGGAAGAAAGATTAAAAATGACGCTCCGTAAATTTTATGGACACCATCACGAATTAGTTGATCTATACGATGTGTCTGTGTCTAAACTAACAAACGTCATTTTTACCACGTCTTAGATTGTGGGTTAACATCTTCGTCGTCTGGTCTGCTAAGTACAGAACGTGACCTATTCTCGAATATGACTGCTTTGCCGAGTGTGAATTCGCTTTTCTATTGGACGTGTCTCGGTATTTATACAACCAACATTCATGTATTTAGTTATGATGTTTCATGTCTAATTCTGGTTGGATATTTTGTTATGTCTTACCGTTTGTTGTTTTAATTCTATTTTTTTTTCTGTATGTATGTAAAAGTAAAGATAATTAATCAGCAATTAAGTTCATTTATATAATTTTTAGTTTGGAGCAATTTTCTGCACAGGATTTATTTGTTTTTACAGTTTGATTTAGAGGAAAAGCCAACATGATTAGAAAATAAAAATATTTACACCTTTACTTATACAGTTCTATATTAATATTCTTGTAATGGTTAGAAATTACATCAAATAACACTATTACAAACTTAATCCCAATTTTATATTCATTTTTTAGAAATTTACCTGTGACGCACAGTTCATAATTCTATTGCGCTGTACTTGTGTACTGTCGTAAATCAATTTTAGATGTTCGTTGTTAGTCTGTGGTTTACATGTTGAAATGTACTATTATGTTGTTTATTTATGTATTTCTCTGTCCTTGGTGTTCTTGCGTTTATTTGTATTGTATTCCTGTCACGTACTGTTGTCATTTTAGCGGTGTTTTAAACATTGCCATTTAAACGGGAGGTTTGGCTAGCCAAAAAACCAGGTTCAACCCACAATTTTTTCTTAAAATGCCCTGTACCAAGCCAGGAATATGCATGGCAGATGTTATCAAATAGTCCGTTTCTATGTATGTTGCCGTTTATTTTTGTAGCAGTTCAGTGTTTCTGTTGTTCCGTTGTTTTCCTCTTATAGTTGATGTGTTTCCCTCGGTTGTGGTTTGTGACACGAATTTGTTTCAGTTACATCGATTTATGACTATTGAACAGCGGTATACTACTATTGCCTTTATATAGAACTCAAGTCGTTTCTCAAGCGAGCACAAAGAGCTTGGCCAATATAATTACCTACACAGTATTGCATTGGAACGTTTTAAAATATTTTGAGCATGTTGAGTGCAAATGTGCATTTTGAAAAATTGTAGAGATTCACATTTCGGATGTTTAAGTTAAGTGTGTTCCATAGTCTTGTTGCTAGGACAAAATGTCCCTAATATAAATGGGTCACTGCGTTAGGTTGTGAAACATTATTTTCTTGTCTTGTATAATGGTCATGTCTCTTTCCCATTGAATCAGGCATACAGTTACATTCGTTATTCATCATTTGATGAAAAAGAATTATAATCTATGGTTGCAACGTCTATCAGATTATATATCGCATCGAGTTTCAACATATAATATATCAATACTGGTAAGTTTAGTGCCCCACAACTTAGACTTTGGGAGATAAAAGGATAAATATCTATAAGTTCCCCTCAAAAGCTTTGCGTAAAAAACTCGGTTAAAGGGGAAGTACTCACGATAGCTATGAATGATTGAAATTGCAGAATTTAACATAGCAAGTAACGGGGATATGAATAAGTGATTTTATTCCATAGGAAGTTGTCTTACTATAGTGGTTAAAATAGACAGTATCTTAATTTCAACTTTGTCAACATTTTTGCATGAATCAGAGTTCCTCTATGCTATGTATAACGGTTTTCAAAATAATACACAATACTTGCATTTAACCCCTGTGTTCTATATTTAGCCTTGATAGCCATGTTCGTTCAGATTCAACGGGCATACTTTTAAAAGTACATACCCAAAAGACAATTGTGGTCAATTACGGTTCAATTTTGCACAACTAGTTTCTGAGTAACGTATTTTTTGTATGAGTTAACGGACGACGGAGACGACAGACGCCAAGTAATAGGAAAAGCTAACATTGGCTCTTGGGCTAGGTGGGCTAAGCAGAAGTATGTATACTCTGTGAACTGGTTAAAATTTTATTGAGGTAATGATGTTAATTTTGCAAAGCGTTTTATATCTATTTTTTTTTCTTTATTTGCAATGAATACTGGTATAATGGTAAATTTACGTACTAACTGAAAATGCTGTATAATACAGCTTACAATTGTATTGTTAAGGAATGCTGCATGTAATAAATAGCAATATAGGTATGTATTTTATCATTACGTGTATTAAGCCAAAGATAATGATATAAAGACAGCTCTAAACTATTTTGCTTTTTAAACAATATAACTTTAAACAAGAGGCTCTCAAGAGCCTGAATCGATCACCTGTAATTGTTTGCTTAAATCTTTCATCAATGATTATTTTTGCTTTTCAATATAAATGTAATGAATGGTTTAAAACTTACATTGAAATGTTCTTTGTATCTGTCATATTTTCTTCAAAATCAAAGAAATGCATTTTACCCCTATGTTTCATTTTAGCCATAGTGGCTATGGTTCTAAACGTACAAGAAAACAAAATACAAAATTTATACTAGATACTCTGAAACACATTCAGCCCAAGTTTGGCTGAAATTGATTCAGCAGTTTCAAAGGAGAAGATTTTTTAAAGTAAGCAAACTAAATGAACAAATTGTGAAAACTGATTTTAAAGGGCAATAACTCCTTAAGGGGACAATTGACAATTTTGGTCATCGTACTTATTTGTAGATCTTACCTTGTTGAACATTTTTGCTGTTCACAGTTTATCTCTATCATTAATAATATTCAAGATAATAACCAAAAACTGCAAAACTTCCTTAAAATTACCAATTTAGTGGCAGCAACCCAACAATGGGTTATCAGATTCAACTGAAAATTTCAGGGCTGATAGAACTTTACCTAATAAACACTTTTACCCACGTCAGATTTTCTCTACCTTAAAATGACCAATTAAGTGGCAGCAATCTAACAATGGGTTGTTCGATTCATCTGAAAATTTCAGGGCTGACAGAGCTTGGCCTTATAAATATTTTTACCTTCATCAGATTAGCTCTAAATGCTTTGGTTTTTGAGATATAGGGCCAAAAACTGCATTTTACCCCTATGTTCTATTTTTAGCCATTGCGGACATGTTATTTAACGAAACTGTGAATGAAACACAGACTTTATTTTAAATACCCTAAGCATCATTCAGCTCAAGTTTGGTTGGAATTGGTTCAGTAGTTTCAGAAGAGAAGATGTTTGAAATAGTTTACACCAGTTTATATCCATTATAGCAAAACAAATATTAAGCAGTTAAGATAATTTCTTATTGATTTTAAACCCCATATTCAAAGCACAAATTCCATCTTCACCTACGTTTCTATCGCTTAGGTGACTTTATCATTATCTATAATTGGTTCATTCACGTGGATCAATTCACATAGTTTTTGGCTGTGAAAAAAGCCGATAATAGGACATTGCATTTTATTTGTTCGTGTATTGATTAGTGGTAAGTCAAAAGAAAATTAAAAAGTTTCAAATTACAAATCGATTGAAAGAAATCGAATGTACAACCGGTACATAACTATATTGTTTTCTAACATTCGTATATATACTTCAGGTTTTATTTTTGACAGGTTGGTGACATGTCCTGTAGTGACGAAAGTGATTCAGACGTAAATGATGTAAGTACGGAGTTCATTATTGCTACTTTTACTTTAATTATAAATCTTACCTTAATATGTGTTAAGACAAAAAAATAGGAAGTTTATCATAATTTGGTCAAACATTTTACTTACACATATCATATATATATGTATATTCAATATAGAACTATAATTTCACCAGCAGGATATGATAAATAGTGGTATTTTGTATCCTTTTTTTAGCTCTTGCCATCACTTGGCGTCCGCGTCGTCGTCCGTCTGGTGTAAACTATTTCAAACATCTTCTCTTCTGAAACTACTGAACCAATTCCAACCAAACTTGAGCTGAATGATGCTTAGGGTATTTAAAATAAAGTCTGTGTTTCATTCACAGTTTCGTTAAATAACATGTCCGCAATGGCTAAAAATAGAACATAGGGGTAAGATGCAGTTTTTGGCCCTATATCTCAAAAACCAAAGCATTTAGAGCTAATCTGATGAAGTTAAAAATATTTATAAGGCCAAGCTCTGTCAGCCCTGAAATTTTCAGATGAATCGAACAACCCATTGTTAGATTGCTGCCACTTAATTGGTCATTTTAAGGTAGAGAAAATCTGACGTGGGTAAAAGTGTTTATTAGGTAAAGTTATATCAGCCCTGAAATTTTCAGTTGAATCTGATAACCCATTGTTGGGTTGCTGCCACTAAATTGGTAATTTTAAGGAAGTTTTGCAGTTTTTGGTTATTATCTTGAATATTATTAATGATAGAGATAAACTGTGAACAGCAAAAATGTTCAACAAGGTAAGATCTACAAATAAGTACGATGACCAAAATTGTCAATTGTCCCCTTAAGGAGTTATTGCCCTTTAAAATCAGTTTTCACAATTTGTTCATTTAGTTTGCTTACTTTAAAAAATCTTCTCCTTTGAAACTGCTGAATCAATTTCAGCCAAACTTGGGCTGAATGTGTTTCAGAGTATCTAGTATAAATTTTGTATTTTGTTTTCTTGTACGTTTAGAACCATAGCCACTATGGCTAAAATGAAACATAGGGGTAAAATGCATTTCTTTGATTTTGAAGAAAATATGACAGATACAAAGAACATTTCAATGTAAGTTTTAAACCATTCATTACATTTATATTGAAAAGCAAAAATAATCATTGATGAAAGATTTAAGCAAACAATTACAGGTGATCGATTCAGGCTCTTGAGAGCCTCTTGTTTAAAGTTATATTGTTTAAAAAGCAAAATAGTTTAGAGCTGTCTTTATATCATTATCTTTGGCTTAATACACGTAATGATAAAATACATACCTATATTGCTATTTATTACATGCAGCATTCCTTAACAATACAATTGTAAGCTGTATTATACAGCATTTTCAGTTAGTAAGTAAATTTACCATTATACCAGTATTCATTGCAAATAAAGAAAAAAAAAATAGATATAAAACGCTTTGCAAAATTTAACATCATTACCTCAATAAAATTTTAACCAGTTCACAGAGTATACATACTTCTGCTTAGCCCACCTAGCCCAAGAGCCAATGTTAGCTTTTCCTATTACTTGGCGTCTGTCGTCTCCGTCGTCCGTTAACTCATACAAAAAATACGTTACTCAGAAACTAGTTGTGCAAAATTGAACCGTAATTGACCACAATTGTCTTTTGGGTATGTACTTTTAAAAGTATGCCCGTTGAATCTGAACGAACATGGCTATCAAGGCTAAATATAGAACACAGGGGTTAAATGCAAGTATTGTGTATTATTTTGAAAACCGTTATACATAGCATAGAGGAACTCTGATTCATGCAAAAATGTTGACAAAGTTGAAATTAAGATACTGTCTATTTTAACCACTATAGTAAGACAACTTCCTATGGAATAAAATCACTTATTCATATCCCCGTTACTTGCTATGTTAAATTCTGCAATTTCAATCATTCATAGCTATCGTGAGTACTTCCCCTTTAACCGAGTTTTTTACGCAAAGCTTTTGAGGGGAACTTATAGATATTTATCCTTTTATCTCCCAAAGTCTAAGTTGTGGGGCACTAAACTTACCAGTATTGATATATTATATGTTGAAACTCGATGCGATATATAATCTGATAGACGTTGCAACCATAGATTATAATTCTTTTTCATCAAATGATGAATAACGAATGTAACTGTATGCCTGATTCAATGGGAAAGAGACATGACCATTATACAAGACAAGAAAATAATGTTTCACAACCTAACGCAGTGACCCATTTATATTAGGGACATTTTGTCCTAGCAACAAGACTATGGAACACACTTAACTTAAACATCCGAAATGTGAATCTCTACAATTTTTCAAAATGCACATTTGCACTCAACATGCTCAAAATATTTTAAAACGTTCCAATGCAATACTGTGTAGGTAATTATATTGGCCAAGCTCTTTGTGCTCGCTTGAGAAACGACTTGAGTTCTATATAAAGGCAATAGTAGTATACCGCTGTTCAATAGTCATAAATCGATGTAACTGAAACAAATTCGTGTCACAAACCACAACCGAGGGAAACACATCAACTATAAGAGGAAAACAACGGAACAACAGAAACACTGAACTGCTACAAAAATAAACGGCAACATACATAGAAACGGACTATTTGATAACATCTGCCATGCATATTCCTGGCTTGGTACAGGGCATTTTAAGAAAAAATTGTGGGTTGAACCTGGTTTTTTGGCTAGCCAAACCTCCCGTTTAAATGGCAATGTTTAAAACACCGCTAAAATGACAACAGTACGTGACAGGAATACAATACAAATAAACGCAAGAACACCAAGGACAGAGAAATACATAAATAAACAACATAATAGTACATTTCAACATGTAAACCACAGACTAACAACGAACATCTAAAATTGATTTACGACAGTACACAAGTACAGCGCAATAGAATTATGAACTGTGCGTCACAGGTAAATTTCTAAAAAATGAATATAAAATTGGGATTAAGTTTGTAATAGTGTTATTTGATGTAATTTCTAACCATTACAAGAATATTAATATAGAACTGTATAAGTAAAGGTGTAAATATTTTTATTTTCTAATCATGTTGGCTTTTCCTCTAAATCAAACTGTAAAAACAAATAAATCCTGTGCAGAAAATTGCTCCAAACTAAAAATTATATAAATGAACTTAATTGCTGATTAATTATCTTTACTTTTACATACATACAGAAAAAAAATAGAATTAAAACAACAAACGGTAAGACATAACAAAATATCCAACCAGAATTAGACATGAAACATCATAACTAAATACATGAATGTTGGTTGTATAAATACCGAGACACGTCCAATAGAAAAGCGAATTCACACTCGGCAAAGCAGTCATATTCGAGAATAGGTCACGTTCTGTACTTAGCAGACCAGACGACGAAGATGTTAACCCACAATCTAAGACGTGGTAAAAATGACGTTTGTTAGTTTAGACACAGACACATCGTATAGATCAACTAATTCGTGATGGTGTCCATAAAATTTACGGAGCGTCATTTTTAATCTTTCTTCCTCATAACTCTGTTGAAGCAGTTTCTGCGTAAGGAGCACACTGAAGTCCGTATAGTGTTAACATGCACGAGCATAACGTATCAACTGAGATATGTAAACACCATACGATGGGGCAGAGGGCATGTTATTGCTGAGAAATGGGAAATTGATAATTGGGAAGTTGAAATCGTCCCGTTTGTCAAAGATTTTAGTGTGAAGTCGTCCATCTGTGTCAGTATTGAGGAAAAGATATAAATTACTTCCATGTCTGTAGTATTTGCATCCGTCATTAAAAGCTCTTTCTTGGAGTCGGAGGACACAAAATAAAAAGATTCACAAATTCTTCAGGCAACTTACAACACCACGTGTACAAATGCATCAACAGAGCTCATAATAAAATAATATGCAAGTTGACACATAAAACGTATGCAATTAGTACCAATTGGAATACCGACTGTCTGTTGAAATATCAATCCTCCAAACTCAACAAATAAATTGTTGATCAAAAAGTCCAGCATTTTGATATTATCATCTTCTGTATATTTTCTAATAGAATCAATGTGGTCCTTCACAAAATAAGAATAATTATAACATGTATAACCCAGAACAAGAAATGTATATCTACGATTTCCATTTTTATAGAAAAAGCTCTGTTAAATGAGATGGTCAAGTCGATCTTTCAACTGAGCATGGGGAATAGTAGTGTAAAGCGAAGAAAAAATAAAAGTTTAAATGTTGCTGCAAAATTGCAGAGATTGTGATCTAAGATTTAGCAGTAGACCTTTAGAATATTTAAAAATCCACATCTGATTGACACCACTAACCTATTCCTGCATATTTTAATACACTCCCCAAAACTGTCATTGTGATGTTTAAAAACAAATTCTCAATTCGTATTGTCCACTGTACACCGATTTAAGACATGAACTATTAGCGTCAACATTTAAATGAATAGTTTGCTTTTTGGGTCAACAGTACTGTAAGACAGAATAACCATTTATTCAGTTAGGTGAAGAAAAACAGTATCAAAAGCAAACCTTTTAACACTTGATGTTACTGCTTCTTCCTACGAAAAGAATCCAAAGCATTTCACACTGTAAATGTTGTATATGTTAGCGGCAATAAGTGACATTAGGCATTAAGCTTAAATCCTAGGCAATAAGCTAACGCCTAGGCAGTAAGTCTATTGCCCAAATAATGTTATGCATTCATTACTCTTAAATCCTAGAATTTAAACTAAAATCCTGAAATTATGTCCAGGCATTAATGTTAATGCCTAAAATGAAAATGGGAGTAAATAAAAAGAAATTTATTTAAACATTGTCAAAGTTAAAGTAAATTTTGTACATGATAAAAAACTGAAGTTTTAATTACACTAAATAAAATCATAAGTACAGTATTGATGTGAAAACTCATTGAATAAACCTATAATTCAAATTGACCACTGTTAATTCGTTGTTCCCCATCCATGCAGTAAGCATGTCATAAATATTTCCGTTTGACCACTCAATACTACCCTGTAATTGGAGATGTATTGACTTCCCGTGAACAATAACTATTTCTAGACACATAAGCATACATTCAGATATAACCTTAGCTGTAAATTCACGACCTTTGTCACTCTGCTATTTATGTGGCACACCAAATATTGTGAAAACAAAAACTAAATTAGAAGCCACATTTAAAGCACCTTTTGTCGTAAGAGCTCTAGTTATATATATGTTTAGGTAATCCTGGTACACTATAAGAAAATATAGTTTCCATCTTACTTTGATTAAATCAACCTGTCCTCTTCTATAAAACTCTTTGGATAAAACAGGTTTTACTACTACTCCCTTCCCTATGCACATTTTTGCATGGTACTATTTTCACAAAATGGAAGGAATAGTACAATGGAATCATGGGAAATGTTTGCGAAGCCATTATTAGGTGGTTTGATTCTACGGTCGCTTTGACATATTTCTTTATTTGTTTTTTTTTCCCCAAAATATCACTCAGGGCCTCTAGAAAAACATAAACTTTTTGAAATTTCCCTGATCATTCTCTTTTACTTTAGTTACCAGTCTTTCAAACCTCCAATGGTAAAAAATGTCATATCATTTTAAATTTTAATAGTCTATAACTGCATTATTTTCTGATTTTGAAAGTTAAATATTTGCCAAATGATCATTGTACTTTTGCTTTGGGTATATGATCTTTGTTTTCTCTGATTCAAATTTTTATTCCGCAAAGATTCGAGAAATTTGTTCCTGATTAAATGTTAATAATCTAGATATTAAGAAGTGAAAAGACATGATGGGTATCTAATAAAACTTACATATACAATAAATCCGATGGAAAGATGACATGACTGGTAAAATTTCATATCTTCAGTTGTCTATTATAGACCATTCCAAACCGACTCGATCACTGAGCAAAACCACAAAGAAATACGAGTATATTCTGTTTTGAATACGAAAAATACTAAAAATGTATGATCTTTTAAATCAGTTTATATTATTTTTTGGCATATAATTTTTTTCAATATTATTCATCAGAATATTTTGCCGAATGTACATGTATTTGGAAGGTAAAAAAAAATCCCAAAGTCAACTTATTGCCTGAAATGATGTTTTGCAATAGGTTTAATAATCATCATCGGATTTCAGGAAATAAGCCTAATGCCTGAAAATTTCAGGCAATAACTTAATGCCTAGGCGTTAGCTTATTGCCTAGGATTTAAGCTTAATGCATAATTTCACGTATTGCCGCTAACATATACATTACAAAATAACATGTTTATTTTTTTTTTCTATTACATTTTTCACCTTTTTCATATTTATATATTTATTGCCAAGCATATGCATGCCAATATTTATATCTGTGTTTTGATAAATTAGTGCATTATTTGTATACTAGGAGACATAATTGTAAAAACAACTTTGCTTGTTTCAGAATACTATCTATTTATTGCAAGTGTATGATATTGTTATGTGATGATTTATCTGAATAACTGTTGTTTAATCTAACATTATAAAGTCTTGTAGAATATAGTCCTAAAAATACACATAGATATATTAACACAATGTGTTTCTTTTCAGATGTCAAAGTTACAAATAAGTGTAACTAGGGATACTTCCGACAAACAGATAGATCAGAATGTTATCAATGAGGAAATTAAAAAAAGGCGTATGTCGGTATTTGCAGAGCATGATATAGTGATAAAAATAGCAAACACAAAACTGCACGTGAACAAGGATCAACTGATTGCTGAGTCGCCAGTGTTTGAAAAAATGTTAGCAAAACAATCAAAAGAAAAAGATCAACAGGAAATAGAATTGGATGGAAAAAACCTTAATGATTTTGTTGACTTCCTAAGGTGTACATTACCCGGAACTGATGATCAAATGACAGGTAAATTATAACGGCTCTCTTTCTTTGTTTGCTTGTTACTCTCTCTCTCTCTCTCTCTCTCTCTCTCTCTCTCTCTCTCTCTCTCTCTCTCTCTCAAAACTTTTGATTTTTCAACCCTGTATACCTCCATTCCCCATGTGAAATTAAAAAATCGTCTAAAAAAAATAATCCACAATGCTTTTCAACATAAAAATGGTAGCCTACGCCATAACTTTATTACTTTGGGATACCATACGACATATTTTTGTTAATAGTGTATAAAAAGGTAAAACATGCTTCACAGAGGAACACGTGATCAGTATGCTGGAGTTTCTTATTGACAACATATTTGTTGAATTTGGAGGTAGACTTTTTCAACAAATTGTCGGCATTCCTATGGGAACAAACTGTGCGCCTCTCCTTGCCGACCTCTTCTTATTTTAATATGAATCGGAGTTCCTTCAGACACTTGTCAAAACAAGAAGATTAAAGAAGCCAGGTCATTGAATTTCACATTCAGATATATTGATGATGTTCTTTCCATTAACAATCCAAAATTTTCTGATAGGGTTCCATTAATATATCCCCCAGAACTAGAAATTAAAGAAACAACAGACACGGTTTCGTCCGCCTCATTTTTAGACTTATACATCGAATTTGACATACACGGTCATCTCAGTACCAGAATCTATGATATACAAGACGATTTTAATTTTGAAATTATCAATTTCCCTCACCTTAGTAGCAACATACCAACTTCACCTGCATATAGGATATACATTTCCCAACTTATTCGGTATTCAAGAGCTTGCAACTGCTACTCAGACTTTGTAAAAAGTCACCAGTGTCTGAGCAGAAAGTTGATGAACCAGGGGTATGTCAAAGAACGTCTTGTCCTTTTTTTAAAAAAAGTTCATCGGAAGGTACCTAGACCTTGCTGATAAATATTCCGTTTCAACTTTACAAATAATACACGATGGTCTTGAAGTATAGACTCTGGGTACTTACGTTGTTTGCCTCTTAATGACGTGTTAAAGTATTCTTTTATTTGTCTTTTTGAATATTACTTTTACTGTTTAGTCTATTTTTGGTGATGTTCATTTGACGTGGCTGGGTACTTATATATCTCGTCATTGTGTTATTGTGCTATGGTAAATTTTAGTGTTCTTGTCTCTCATTTTCGCTAATGTGATTTGTCTATATGCCTTTTTGTGTTTCGTTGTTACATATTTGTTTTTTTTATAGTGATTAAGATTATAACACAATGTTGACTGTTTTACCCCTATTTTGAAATTTTTACCTATTATGTCTGTTTGTTTTGTTCACACGTCATTGTCAATATAATAGAATGTTATGCGACTGTCATACAAATGAGAGGTTTAGCTAGTGTAAAACCAGGTTTAATTCACCATTTTTGACATAAGAAAATACTTGTACCAAGTCAGGAATATGACAGTTGTTATCCCTTCGTTTGATGTGTTTGAGCTTTTGATTTTGCCATTTGCTTAGGGACTTTCCCTTTTGAATTTTCCTCAGAGTTCTGTATTTTTGTGATTTTACTTTCTCTCTCAAAATTAATTGTCAATGTTAACTTCATTCCGTTTCCACCTCTTGTAGCACTCTAAGCTACTTAGTTTTTCATGGCAACCCGGAGGAAACCATAATATCTTGAGATAATCATCTACTGTTGACAGGAAAAGTAACCTAAAATCCTAGTAACTTCTAAGACTATTAGGCCACAGAAGCCTCAGAAATAAATTAAAAATAATATATAATAAATATTTGATTATAAAGCGCGATTCCTGAAGCCAATATGAATAATTTTCATACTGGATAGGTCAGATCATCCGATGTACTTCTACTAAGAACATACAGAAAGGGAAAACTTAAAATAAATGTCCCGGTTCTTTCTAAACGTTAATGTGTACGACTTTATTATATTATTTAAACAGTAGCACATGATAAAATTTGTGCATTTTCTCAGTTAAGACATGTCTTGATGCTGTGTTGATGATTGCTGATACATGACGTTAGTCATATGTGAATCAGACGTTGACGAGTCAATACAATTTCGAATCAAATCGGATTTGTACTTCACATTTTAACTCGGGATATCCATCGGTTATTTTAGAATCGTTTTCTTATAATTGTATTTTTATTTAACAGGTCATTACAGATTAACACAATCATGGCAATTCTAATAATACAAAATAGTTTTATTAAAGCTATTAAATCCACGACTCACTGTGTACTTACTGATCGAAATGGATAAAACGAGAAAAAGCTGACAAGAAATCCTTAGATTCTTTTTTTTAATTAAGCAATGAACAAAGTTGATATACGTATACAACATTCTAAAGAACATTCTACTCCTAACAACAACCATAATAACCCTATTTCTCGTATCAAACGTAAGCTAAAAGAACTCGCCAAGGAATTTGTTTTTGTTCCAGCTGATAATGCAGCTAATTATATCATTATTGTTTGACGTAAATTTTACATTGAGGTTCTGTAAAAGGAAATCACGAATTCACCAACATTCCAACTGACTCCATTTTCGGAAAATTACATCTGTAACAAACATAAACTTTTAGCTACTTCTTTACAAGTAGAACCAAACACAACAAAAGCTCCAACTATGTTATGGCTTCCGCAGCCGCACAAAATACCTTACAAATATAGATTTATTTTGACTACTTAACTGTCTATTCTACTTACTAGTACACGTGGTACAATCAAAAACCTGGTAATAAATTGTTCAAATAAGGTCTTTAAAAATAGTGAAATTAATTACTTTTGGAGTGTCAAAAATTCGTTGGCAGTACTTGATAAATTGCATGCTTATATTGGTGATTTCGAATCTGTTCAAAGTTTTGATTTTTCTACCATATATACCACTTTGCCTCATAATCTTATTAAGAAAAAAATTCACACACCTAATTAAATTTGAATATAAACAGTCAGAATGCGAATATATGTGTTCAAATTCTTTTAGGTCATTTTTTAGTACATGTAACAACAAACAAAAGAACTATGTCAATTGGACATGCTTTGATGCTATAACTGCCCTTGAATTTTTACCAGATAACATTTTTTTTCGCTATGGATATTCCGGATATCGTCAAGTTATCAGAATTCCAATGGGGACTAACTGTGCACCACTCAATGCGGACCTGTTTCTGTATTGTTATGAGTTACAAGTTATGACTAAAATCAGCAAAGACCCATCGAAACAACATCTGATACAAAATTTAATAACACTTTTAGATATTTAGATGATATATTGGTGCTCAATAATGACGACTTCAGTATGTACACTAACGAGATATATCCTGCTTAACTGACTTTTAATAAAGCAAATACTAACAATGGACACTGCTCTTTCCTGGATCTTGATATCTATATCTGAAACGGGAAGCTTAATACCAAAACTCTTTTTTTTACTTTTCCTATTGTTAATTTTCCATTTTTAGATGTCACCATCTTATGGTGTGCATATATCTCAACGTGTTCGATTCGCTGATGTATGTAACAACATATTATGGTAATATTTTTACGAAGCACAAAAATGTCGGCATTCACCTCAATAGCTTACCAAACCTTTAAACAGACTTATCCAGAAGGGATATACAGTGGAAATCATTTCTAACCTCTCATTAAATCTGTCAGAATCTGTCAGGAGAACTGTTCTAGGACAGTATGTAGAACTGTCAGCCTGACACCTTTTAGACAGTTCCAGCTAGAACAGTTCTAACCTAGAACTGATTTGGTCAGTTCTACCTAGAACTGATTTGGACAGTTCTACCTAGAACTGATCCTGACAGTTCTACCCTAAAACAGTTTTAGACAGTTCTACCTAGAACTGACTAAATATTTGGTCAGTTCTACGACTAGAACAGTTCTACGGTTAGAATTGATTTATAAAATTCTACGGCTAGAATTGATTTATAAATTCTACGGCTAGAATTGATTTATAAATTCTACGGCTAGAATTGATTTATAATTCTACGGTTAGAATTGATTTATAAGTTTTAAGAACTCTTTGTCTTAAATATAAGGCTTCGGCAAAATAGCGATTTATATAGAGTGTTGTTATTTTTCCGGTGTTATTTAAGATTAATGGATTCCCTGGATCTGTCGATACCGGTACCAGAGGTCTTGAGTTCACTATTGCTGAAAGTTTTACCATTAACGTGTATGAGTTCGAGGTGAACAGCTCTTGTCCCTAAGCATGTGAAAAGAATTGCCCAAAGTTTTGAGTTGGCGTATTCACCACGGGTTTTACGTCCAAACGTGTCTTTTTCAATGTTAGTAAATTGAGGTGAAGGTTCAAGTCGGTCCTCTGGCAAATCACACATAATTTGTCACTCGGTTTTTCCTCTTAGTTTGTGATATGTTATGCATCTGTGAATGATAGACGACACCAAGCGTTTCGCTCCAACTATCATGAATCCCTCGGATCTAATCGCTCCATCTGTGAAGTGGATTATTTTTAATCTTGTCATGGTAGTGTAGGACTAATAATGTTGCATGGTAATGGCGTCCGGGAAAGATCAATTTTGGGCATACGAGAAGCTTTTCAGAGAGGTCACTGATTGTGTCTTTCTTGTCCCATTAGAACGGGGAAAACGTTTCAAAAAGGCTACAAGTGATGTCCAGTTGTAGAATCGATTGAATCTATCAGTTCCGATACATTAACAGTTGCATACATTTCTCCATCTTCATCTGGATCGACGAGTTTCTTTCCGTTTTGATAGAAAGGTTGTCTAGATCATTGTAACCCCTCACTACTATTAATTTTGTTGGCTGATACGGATCTTGTTTTTGAATCTGCAGGATTGCGATTCGTTGGTACATAGTTCCATTGACTTGGAACGCTAAACTTCCTTATTGTTTCTACTCAATTAGCAACGCAGATAAAGAATCTTTTCGTTTCGTTACTAATGTAACCTTAGACCACTTTATTGTCTGTGTAGAATTTTACAGTGTCTATTAAATAAATTAAGATTATCCTTATGAAT